TCTTTTTCTACGAAATGACCCCTGGGTACTTCCTTCAGTGAACCTACCCTGCCTGCAGGGCTACTTCTACTGCAGATAATGCAACAAGATTGCTGTTACCTTTGTCCTGACCCAGATAGCCCAGGCAAGCTCGTTCTCGTCAGATCTTGGAAGCGGAGCGGGGCCGACCCTGGCAAGTACTTGGAAGGGCGACCTCCGAGGAATACCAGGGCCGGGACTCAGAGGCAGGCAAATATCAAGCCACCTCTCTGAAACGTCCATGCCCTGCTAGGGGTCGCCAGAAGTCACCGTGACTTCGAAGCACACAAGCACACGCACGCGCACACAAATATCACCCTGCCCCTCAAAAAGGATTGTCGTTACCTTTGAGGGCCACCCGGTTTCGCCGGATGGCCATGATGGCATTCTCCAGGTCCCTGTCAGAGGCCTCTGAGCTCACTAGAACCTCCTCGAAGTCCACCGGCACACAGGCATGCCTGGGGAGGGGGGAGAAAAATTAATCTGGGTCTGCTGACTCCAGCCCTAGGGTTGCCAAGCCCCCAGTGGGGACATGGGGAATGCTCCCTCTAAGCTGCGGAGTCTTGTGAGCAAAAATTCTACTCTGTGAGCTCCTGGCATTCAAGTTGTGAGGGAGCGATTTGGCTCCTGCATCAATCAGTTTGCTCTGGAGCCCTCCTTCCTGAGCTAAGTCAAAAGTGTGTGGGCCGGAGGCTAAAGAACTGTGAGCGAGCTCAGACTCACTCAGCTTCAAGGGAACACTGGACATTGGATGTCCCAGGTCCCATTGACCGCCACTGCTCTAAGCTCCTTCTGTAACTTATCAGAAGTGAAAAGGGGCAGCTCTAGGAATTCCCAGAAACTCTATGGTTTCACTAGAGGGTTTCTGGCAATTCCTAGAGCTACCGCTTATCACTTCCGGTATGAACTTCCAGTAAGTAGACAAGTCTGCATTTTTTTTAAAAAACTTTCTCCCACAATGCTACACACACACCCATCCCACTGACAGCCAGTTTGGTGTAGTGGTTAGGAGCGCAGACTCTAATCTGGGAGAACCAGATTTGATTCCCCACTCCTCCACATGCAGCTGCTGGTGTGACTCTGTGTCAGTCACAAGTTCTCTCAGAGCTGTTCTTGAAAGGGCAGTCCTCGAAAGAGCTCTTTGAGCCCCACCTACCTCCCAGGGTGTCTGTTGTGGGGAGGGGAAGGGAAAGGAGATTGTAAGCTGCCCTAAGACTCCTTCCAGATCCAATCTCTTCTTTTTCTTCATCTTCTTCTTTTGGCAACCCTAACCTGCCGCACTTTGTGAGCAAAAAGGGATCTAGGGGGTTAGTGCAGAGGGGGGAGGGGGAGAAAGGGAGGGAATTTGTACCTGAATATCTCCTTGACGTGCAGCATGAGTTCTGGCCCAATCCCATCTCCGGGGATCATGGTCACTGTGTGGCGCCCCCCATATTTGGCAGGAGGCGGCTGTAAGAAGGGGAAGCGGGGAGATTAAAAGTAGAAGTCAAGGACTTGTGCTTCTTCCTACAAGCCCCTCCCTCCCTCCTCAGGAGATGCACAAAACAACTCTGTGGTTAAGAGTGCAGACTCTATTTTATTTTTTTATTCAATTTATACCCTGCCCTCCCCGCCAATAATCTGGGAAAACTGAGTTTGATTCTCCACTCCTCCAAGTGCGCATGTTGTTATAAGGATGGAGATTGGTTCCTGAAAATAATTTATAGAGGAATTGTTAAGGGCGATTCTTGAGAAAGAAAGTTGGAAACGGCTTGTGCATCCGGGGAGCCGTCGGATCGCTTCTCCTGGAAGGGCAGGATTGTGGATGGTATCTCTCACAAGTAGCAGCTTCGGGAAGAAGAATACTTTTGGATCCTCCCTTTTGCAGTAGCGGGACATATAGAAAAGAGAATCCCTCCTCTGTCTATCTCCAGCTAGATTGTCTCTTGTTTATGTACGGATTTTGTGGTGCGTCAGACTTTGTCAGTTTATTTTTCACACTGTATATATTTTGACTACTTTTACTCATTATGATGATGACTACATAAAAACAAAACAATATATATAAATTCTCTATAGTCTATCAAAACTGTGTACTGTCCTGTTTGGATTCTTGCACACGGAGTTTCCTTCGCTCGGATTTGTTTCACCGTGGCCCCTCTTTTTATTTTTATACTGAATCAGACCACTGGTCTATCAAGGTCAGCACTGTCTACTCAGACTGGCAGGAGCTCTCCAGGGTCGCAGGTGGAGGCCTTTCCCATCACCTCCTGCCTGGTCCTTTCAGCAGGGGATGCCGGGGACTGAACCTGGGACCTTCCGCATGCCAAGCAGACCCTCTACCACTGAGCCACGACCCCTCCAACCCAACGCTGCTGAACAGGACAGGCATTGGATCCGGGCTACAACTGCGTACATGCAAAGTGTATGCCCTACCACCAAAGTGCTGGCTTGGCTTTAAAAAAAAACAAAAAAAAAACCCTTGTGCATTCCCCATCCTCTCCCCTAGGAGGAGCACTTCCTGAAACAGCCACCCTTTGAATACTTGAGAGCGGGAGGAGACGGACTGCTGCCCAGCGGCTCTAGCTCCCAATTTAGGAAAGCTACTTACGATGTTCTGCTGCTGCTGGCGAGATGACAGGACGAAAAATAGTGGGGGGGGGGAGAAAAAAAAGGAAAAAGACTTTTCAGGCAGTGCAATAGAGCAGAAACCAATTTAAGAAGAAGAGGAGGAGATTGGATTTATACCCCGCCCTTCACTCAGAGTCTCAGAGCACCTTACAATCTCCTTTCCCTTCCCCTCCCCACAACAGACACCCTGTGAGGTAGGTGGGGCTGAGAGAGCTCTGACAGAAACTGCTCTTTTTTCAAGAACAGCTCTTATCAGAACTACGGCTTGCCCAAGGTCATCCAGCCAGGTGCAAGTGGAGGAGTGAGGAATCAAACCCGGTTCTCCCAGATTAGAGTCCGCGCTCCTAACCACCACACCAACTGAGACAGCATTTTAACCACCATGGCGTCTTAATCTTTTATGTCTTTTTTGTCCTCGCAGCAGGATATGACAGCAGTGCAAGTTACAGAGTGTGGTTTCCAGCACGTTTCATCAGTTCGACTGTGGAGACTCCTGAGTATATTTGAAGAAAAAAAGAGCATGATGCTTCTAACCCTCAGGATCGTGGAAGTCGAGTTTGATAAATGTGCTGAAGGAACTGAGACCGCAGCAGACCTGAGAAGGGTTTGCAATGACCAGAGCACGTCAGAGGTACAACTAAAAATAATGCATCTGAAGAGTTTATGCTGTAATAATTGCTCCACAGTAATAATGAATTACTGGCGGGAGCTGGTCCATGGGGTCGCGAAGAGTCGGACTCGACTGTGCGACTGAACAACAACAACAAATAATTAAAATAACAGCGCTTTTGCTGCTTTCCCCTGCAGCATGCAAAAGGCTTTTCTGTCTTCTCATTTTCCTCGCTTGTGTGTTCCTGATGCTTGGGGGGGGGGGTGGCTGTGCCACAAGTTTTTCTCCCCTCCAGACAGCGATTTGATATTACATCGCTTTACGTCTGGCATAAAAACCTGCAGTTCAAATCTGTAGGGAGATATGCCAGACATACGTGAGGTAATATCGAATTGACCACTAGAGGGAGCCAAACACATGCAGAGCAGGAAAAAAGGTAAAGGTTCCCCTTGCTCGAAAGCCAGTCGAGTCCGACTCTAGGGTTGCGGTGCTCATCTCCGTTTCAAAGCCGAAGAGCCAGCACTGTCCGAAGACATTTCCGTGGTCATGTGGCCGGCATGACTAAACACCAAGGCGCACGGAACACTGTTCCCTTCCCACCGAAATGGTACCTATTTATCTACTTGCAATTTCTTGCTTTCGAACTGCTAGGGTGGCAGGAGCTGGGGCCAGAGACGGGAGCTCACTCCGTCATGCGGCACACTCGGGTCTCGAACTGCTGAACTACCGACCTTCCACAACCTGCAGTTCTGCATCTTAACCTCCCCAAATAACAGGAACACAGAAGAGAGGAAAATCGGAATACAGAAACGCCCAAACCCTGTACAGTGCTTGCTGGCCTCTGTTTGTAACGGTCTGGGCCTTTCGTTGAATATAACTTGTGACGCATTTTCAGAAACCAAAAATAAACAGGGTTCTTTTTTTCCTTTAACGCCACACATTTGGTTCTTTAGTCTTTATCACATCTCTGCTGCATAGGTCAGGATTAACATTCTAGTCTGACAGATGGAGAGAACCACGACTGAGGTCATCACAGTACGATTATACTAACTGAGCAGCTCTTCCAGGTCACTTAAAAGACGCACTAACCCTGATTCCATCCCCGCTCCTTGGATGTGCAATGCGGCAAAAGAAGAAAAAGAAAACATGCACGGTCCCATTCAGTATCAGGAAAACTAGCTAGGGACTCGAAGGACCCCCTGGGCTACCCAAGGCCAAGGTTGATGAGATGAGCTTGTGATGACAAAGGGAAAGGCAGTACTGGGAGGGCAGGAGTCAGTCCTCTACAGCATCTTTTCGGGGCAAAGGAGACCCACTCAGAAGTTATACCAACCGAGGTCACGTTCCTGCGATTGACATCTGTTAGAGTCTGTACCTGTCAGGCAAAGAGAAAATGCAGGTTAGGAGATCTGGGGTATCCAGAATTAATTCATCCCTAGGAGAGGGAAACTGTCTTACTAGGGTTTTAGAAGGCCACTGAGCTCTTGCTTGGCTCTGGGGAATTCTAGGTTCGAGACAGACTACTGGCCAGTTCTCTTTGCAAGAATATGAGGCCAGCTATTTGACCAGTCAGGCATCGACGCCATATTTAAAGCCTTTTTAGAACTGTGCAAAGAGACAGCCTTGCGCCAGTTACCGAAACTCAAGTCCATTTGTCAGTGCAAATTAAATTCTAAACGACTACATCGCCATATTTAAAGCCTTTTTAGAACTGTACAAAGAGACAGCCTTGCGCTAGTTACCGAAACTCAAGTCCATTTGTCAGAACACCACAGTGCAAATTAAATTCTAAACGACTACACAATACTGGTACCTATAAATAAGTTTACTGATATAAGGATATGCTAGATAGACATGAGGTGGGACAATTCCTGATATGTACTGGGAACTGCTACAGTTATAAAGTTTGTTTAAAACAGAATCAAACAATAAATGCAAAGCGATGTTTAAAATACTGTTGAATAACAGGTTCTGATGCAATTTGAGCCTTATCTCTTGTTGTTGCATATTCCATGCTTTAAATGTTTATTGTTGTAAATGATCATTTGAAAATGAATAAAAATGATTTTTAAAAAAATATTTAGACAGGAGGGCAGGGGTGAGGATATTAGACCGCTGCTTTGGTGTACCAATCCCGTTAAGACCTGCAAAAGTCAGACAAAACTTAGTACACAGAGAGTTGACTCGCATAAACGGAGAACCACAGATTATGTCTGAACACAGCACATAAATAGTCTATGTGTACATAATAGCATCCATCAGTCAAAAAAAGGCTTACATAGGCTAGGATCACAGCAAAACAGAGACTAAACGGGCTGTGTGCATCTGCAACCTCATCTTCACCAAATTATTTATTATTAAAACATTTTTACACTGTCTTTCCCCACAATCGGGGTCCACTGATCAGTGAACATAAAAACATGTGAACAATTAAGACAGTTAAAATTATTAAACTAAATTAACGTTGATTTAAAAATTACACTTCAGTCTAGATTTAACGGCATACCACCAGTTATTCCCCTCAATAAAACACTTGGAGAATATTAAAGAAAAGCAGCTAATCCTGGGTGATACTTTATGAAAAAGAGAAGAAGAGAGGAGATTGGATTTATGGATTTATGCCCTTCACTTGGAGTCTCAGAGCGGCTTACAAACTCCTTTCCCTTCCCCTCCCCACTGCAGACACCCTGTGAGGTGGGTGGGGCTGAGAGAACTCTGACACAAACTGCTCTTTCAGGAACAGCTGTGCCAGAGCTTGTGACTGACGCAAGGTCACAGCAGCAGGTCCAAGTGGAGGAGTGGGGGGAATCAAACCCGGTTCTCCCAGATTAGAGTCCGTGCACTTCACCACTACACCAAACTGGCTCTCAGTACTTATAATGAATTCCCTGTCCTCTTGGAACATTCTGGTCTCATATCGACTACTCAAGCAAGCTGAAACTGAGATGCAACCAATGCTCCCTCTAAGCTGTGGAACCTTGTGAGCAAAAATTCTACTTTGTGAGCTACTGGCATTAAAGTTATGAGCAAGCGATTTAGCTGCTGCATAAATTAATTCACTCTGGAGCCATCCTTTCTAAGCTAAGACAAAAACGTGTGAGCCGGAGGCTAAAAAACTGTGAGGTAGCTCACACTAACTCAGCTTAGAGGGAACATTGGCTGCAACTCACTCATTTTTTAAAAAAGCACCTTTCACAAAAAGAGTAGATATCGGAACCTGGATTCCCAGCTCAGCCTCAAAAGCAAACTGCCTTCAAAGGCAAATGCACGACTAACCATACTGCACAAGGTGGGATTCTTTGGATTTAAATTTTTTATTATTTTCTCAAAAAAAAAAGTGGGATACAGAAGGGAAGAAGGGGGTAGAGGGAAAATATAGATTCGTCAGGTTTCTCAAATATTATGTAACAGGTAAAATCAGATGTACTACCAAATGTATTACATTTTTCAAATATAGGAGCAGACAATAAAACATCGGTAAGGGAGCACTCACTGGAGAAGTCCCTAATGCTGGAAAAGATTGAAGGTCAAAGAAGGGGACGGCAAAGGATGAGGTGGTTAGACGGTGTTACCAATGCAATGAACATGAAACTGAGCAAACTCCAGAGGACGGCGGAAGACAGGAGGGCCTGGTGTGATGTGCTCCATGGGGTCGCAAAGACTCGGACTCGACTGTTCGACTGAACAGCAAAAAATTACAGAATTTTGGGACAGGGTCTCTCTTTAAAGAATAAACGAGAACTTTCCTAAAGTTAGCAATAACCTATGAACAATAAAAGAGATTACATCTTTAACAACTGAACAAACTTCTATGCTACAAGGTGGGAGTGATTCTTAACTAGGATTTAATCCAGACTACTGGGGGGAGGGGGGGAGTCTACAGTTCAGCTGTACATGCGTTTGTACATCCATCCTAAATCACCAATTCTTCATTATACTCTACATAAACAGAAATAAGAGGAATCCGGCAATGACTACTAGCCATGATGGCTGAGGGGAACCTCCACATTCAGAGGCACTAATCGTGTGGATCCCAGAGCCAGGAGACAACATCAGGGGAAGGCCTCAGCCTCTATGCCCGGTTATTGGCCCTCCAGAGGAACTGGCTGGCCCCTGTGGGAGACGGGATGCGGGACTAGATGATTGGTCTGATCCAGCAGGGCTCTTCTTACATTCTTATGCTGGGAGCCGGGCAAAGGCTGGATCGGTGCACAGTTTTAATCACGATTAAATCAGAAATCTGCATGCACCCCATGAGCGACTACAATCTCGCAAAGCTTTTCAACTTTTACACAGAACTGAATGCAAGTGACGGGATATATTCAAGATTACATAAACCAAGGTCAAGAAATAGGCGGGGGTGGAGTATTGTAAAGGCTTTAAAACTCTTTTTACAGCAACCAAATATAAAGATTTTAAGCAGATGGGAGTTTTTGCTGGCAGGGAACAGTAAAACCCACAGGCTAACAATATTCATCATGAAATCATGAAGGCAGGATACAATTTGCTACCAGGGATGCTGGCACCTTGGTGAACACCCCTGGTGTTATTTTGAGGCAAAAGGGGGAGGGCCCCCGTACTGGAAGCAAAATGCAGGAACCTCCAATGTGACTTTATTTTTTAAATGTTTTGTTTAATTTATAACCTGCTGTCCTGGAAACCAGCTCACTTCCTAAAAATAAGCCCCTGAGAGACCTATGGATGCCAGGAAGTCCCCCTTCTGTATTGATGACACTAGGGACTTGAGGCATTCCATCCTGAGCTTCTTTTTTGTCCTCTTGTTTAGCCATTTAAGGTATAGAATGGCTCTCACGTCCCCGTTCTTCTTTGGAACGAAAAAGAAGACTGAGTAAACCCCCAAGGTCTTTTGGGCTTCCAGCACAGGCTCTATCGCTCTTATCGCCAAGAGATGTTGGATGGCATTGAGAAGACGAAGGTCTTTCCGTGGGCCGCTGTTCTTTGGCACTGGTAGGAATCTGTTGGGAGGGATGCAGCAGCGTTCGATCGAGGAACCCTTTTTGACCGTATCCAGCACCCACTTGTTGCCTACAGTAGCTTCCCCTTGAGTTGCAAACATTTGAAGCCGGCCTATCTCTGGGGTCCTGTGATAGACATGCTGAGGCGCTCTTTTGGGGGCCTTCGCGATTCTGTCCTGAAGGGCTGGTAAAGGCGGAATTATTGCCCCCTGGCTGTTTGCGATGCCATCTCCACTTGGAAGGTCTCGATGCTTGAGATCCTGAGGTGCGTTTGGGCGCGCGAAAGGAGGAGCTATGCTTCTTGGGCTTGGTATCTCTCCAACAGGAAGGAAGCGCCTTCTTCTTGCCCTTATCTTCCGCCAGGTATCTGTCTGTGCCTTCCCCGAAGAGCTGGATGCCTTTAAAGGGCATGCCCACCAACTTTGCCCGCGTGGAGGGATCCACTCCCCAGCTGCGTAGCCACGTATTTCTCCTGGTGGTCACGTTCGCTGCCATGGCCCTGGCTGATAGCTGAACGGCATCCAACGAGGCATCTGCTGAAAAGGCTGCCGCCAGGGCAATCTTCTTGAAGCTATCTTTTAGCGGTTTAGGTACATCACTGTCCGTTGCAGAAAGGCCTGAAGCCCAGACGTAGATAGCTCTAGTAAAGAGAGAGCTTGCGGCGGACGCCCTGAGGGATGTTGCGGAGGCTTCGAAGTTCTCCCGTAGCGACTGTTCGATCCCTCGATCGCAAGGATCCCTGGGCAGGCCATCTGCATCCGCCAGCAGGATCGAGTCGGAATGCAGGCCAGCCACCGGGTCATCGACCATTGGCAGCTCGAAGCGTGCGGCGGCCTCTGGCACCAGGGAGTAGAACCTCGAGAGAAGGGGGTGATTTGATTTTGGCCTAGCTGGGGATTCCCACTCTGACTGTACCACCCTATCAAACGTATCTGGAAAAGGGATCCAAAGTGGGGCTGACCCCGCTTTCAGAAAGGTGTCGGCGGGTCCTGTTGGCTTCTTTAGATCAGGCATCCCCACCTCCTGATGATTCACAGGGATATCAAGGGTACGCAGAACCTTTGGACGCAGCTTATGGAAGACCTCCTGTGGGAAAAGGCGATTCTGCACTGTCGTGACTACGGGCTCCTCCTCGTCCGACGACTTCCCCTCTTCTTCATATGAGGAAGGATCCGAGTATTCAGAGTCCTGATCTTCATCCCCCAGCAGCGGACTTCCTTCTCCGCTCAACCTGGTACGGCAGTCCAGCCTCCTCCTCTTGCGTCGAGGGGGAGAGCCAGAGGACCGGTCGCTCTCCCTACTGCCTGATCCGCTACTGGAGGGAGGGCTGCTCCGACGTCTGCTGCTGTCGCTCGAGAAGTCCCTGCGGCTTTTGGGAAAGGCTTGAGAAAAGAGCTCCCTCATTTCCTTCCGCATCTCCTCTTTGATTAAGTCTAAAAAGTCAGTCTGTGTGTTTTTCCCCAAATGGGCCAAGTTCTTGAGCCCTGCCAGCTCAGTCCCGAGTTGGGATCCGTGGGGAGAAGAAGGTCGCTGGATGCTAGAAGTGGAGTCCTCTTGGGGCAGGTACCCCGAGAGGCCCGCCCGGGCCGCCATTTTCCTGTGTTGCAATTTGTTGCCCTTGTTTTCCTTTGTTGCAACTGTGCCTCCTGAGACTTTAAACAGGGTATCCCTTCCAGGGTTGCAGAGGGTCCAGCGAAGAGCTGTGGAAACCGGCAGGCACTAGGACCAGCCCGCAGCTAGGCCGACCCGGAAGGTCTACCGGAAGCACAGACAAAAAAATAATAATACAATAAAATAATAAAGAACCGAGAATCAGCGCGCTCAACACGGAGCGCTGTCGGAGGCTTCCTTCTGCCTTCAACGCCAGGCCGGAGAACTGGATAATGACGGAGGAGCCCCGAAAGGAAAGTGACGGCCCCGCCAGCCAATAAGAAGGAGCCTCGTTCGCTTTCTGCCAGCCCAGCACCCGGTCTTTACCCAATCAGATCCATCCCCTTTCTCCCTCTCCACGCGCACAGGCGCCCCGAAAGGAAAGTGACGGTCCCGCCAGCCAATAAAAAGGCAACTCGTTCGCTTTCTGACCCGCCCAGCACCCGGTCTTTACCCAATCAGATCCATCCCCTTTCTCCCTCTCCACGCGCACAGGCGCCCCGAAAGGAAAGTGACGGCCCCGCCAGCCAATAAGAAGGAGCCTCGTTCGCTTTCTGCCCCGCCCAGCACCAGGTCTTTACCCAATCAGATCCACCGCAGGTGCTTACCCCCTCCTCCACACGCACAGAACGATCCCCGATAACGAGGGAGGAGCCCCGAAAGGAAAGTGACGGCCCCGCCAGCCAATAGGAAGGAGCCTCGTTCGCTTTCTGCCCCGCCCAGCACCAGGTCTTTACCCAATCAGACCCATCGCAAGTGCTACCCCCCCCTTCCTCCTCCTCCACACAGAGGCATGACATTATCCTTTCGCTCCAAGGAACCCCGCAAGGTCGCCGCCTCAGCCGCGGTGGACTGTCCTCACCATGCGAGGGGCCAGCAAAGCCGCCTTCCAAATCGGCCTGCCGGCGGTCCTCAAACTCGCCGAAACGGCCATCCTTGAGGACTGCGTGAAGAAACCCGTTGTCTAGGCACCGCGAGACTGGCGTCCCCCTCTCGCGAGAGTTGGCGAGGAGTCACGCATGCGCAACGAAGTCACTCCCCCGCCCGGTCCCCGTTTCGACCATTATCAATCATTATGATCGCATTTGTGCTCCATTCAGCTTTACAGACACACTGCGTCACGGTATAGTTATTATTTATTTATCGATTCAGTTTGTACCCCGCCCTCCCCGTGAAGGCGATATCACACCCCAGAAAGCATCCCCCCCCATACACACTCAAACCGGAAGTCGAATGTCATAGGTCCGTCCCTTTCCCGCTCCGTCGATCCACTTCCTATCTCCGAGGTTTTTCCCCCTCCCTTACTTCCGGCTCGACATCTATGGCCCTGGGCCTCCTAGAGCGGCTCGGTAGATAAGCAGCGCGCAGGCGCACCTGCACTCTCTTTCCGCTCGGCGAGGTACGTGTGAGGGTGAGATGGCGGCCGCGCGGCTCCGGCCTGGCGGCGGGGCGGGGGGTAGAGTAGGCCTCGGTCCTTCCGGGCCTCTGACTGACCTCGTGTGTCTTTCTCTTTTCCAGACCCGCAGCCATGGGCCGCCGACCCGCGCGTTGGTGAGTGGCCTTAGGGCGGGGAAGGGGCCGGGGCGGCGGGAGAAGGTGGCGGGCGGGCGAGCAGCGCTCCCTCTAAGCGGTGGAGTCCTGTGAGCAAAAATTCTCCTTTGTAAGCCACTGGCTTTAAAGTTGCGAGCCGGCGATTGTCCGTCCTTCCTGAGCTAAGACAAAAAAATGTGTGAGCTGGCGCAAAGTCACTCAGCTTAGAGGGAACGCTGGTGGGGAAGGAGCTGCGAGGCGGCCTGGGAACCACTGTTCCCTCTAAGCTGAGCGAGGGGGAGCCGGGAGCCGACCCACAGTTATTTTAGCTTCCAGCTCACACATTTTTGCCTTAGATTTTTTGGCTCCAGAGCAGACTTAATTGATGCAGTAGCCAAACTGCTCGCTCACAGCTTTAATGCCAGTGGCTCACAAAGTACAATTTTTGCTCACAGGACTCCACAACTTAGCGGGAGCATTCCTTGGAATGTGGAGCTATTGGGCTCTTGGCTGGGTTCCTCCTTGGGGATCGGAAGGGAGGGAGGGTCCTGAGGGCAAAAGCAGTGGACGGGGGTGGTCTGACTGCAGTCTCTTCCAAATCAAGCCTCCATAGCTAGAGGCAGTATACCTCTGGCCGATCGACGCCCGTGGGGGTTAAGAGTGCAAAAAGTATAGTGCTTGTGTTAAGGTTCTCTGATGTTTAAATTTTTATTTCTTGAGCCAAAAGGCGGAGCATAGAAACTCAAGAGGGGGGTTGGGTTAGTAACTATTGATAGATCTGTTCTCCATTAAGTCATTAAGAACATAGGAAGTGTATCATGTATCACACAGTGGCCAGTCAGTTCCCGTCAGTTTTTTTAACCTCCAGCTCGCACATTTTTGCCTTAGATTTTTGGCTCCAGAGCAAACTTAATTGATGCAGTAGCCAAACTGCTCGCTCACAGCTTTAATGCCAGTGGGTCGCAAAGTACAATTTTTGCTCACAGGACTCCACAACTTAGCGGGAGCATTCCTTGGAATGAGGAGCTGCTGGGCTCTTGGCTGGGTTCCTCCTTGGGGATCGGGAGGGAGGGAGGGTCGTGAAGGCAAAAGCAGTGGACAGGGGTGGTCTGGCTGCAGTCTTCCAAATCGAGCCTCCATAGCTGGAGGCAGTATACCTCTGGCTGATTGATGTCCGTGGGGGTTAAGAGTGCAAAAAGTGCAGTGCTTGCGTTAAGGTTCTCTGACCTCTTGGCTGGGTTCCTCCTTGGGGATCGGAAGGGAGGGAGGGTCCTGAGGGCAAAAGCAGTGGACGGGGGTGGTCTGACTGCAGTCTCTTCCAAATCAAGCCTCCATAGCTAGAGGCAGTATACCTCTGGCCGATCGACGCCCGTGGGGGTTAAGAGTGCAAAAAGTATAGTGCTTGTGTTAAGGTTCTCTGATGTTATAAGAGCCCTACTGGATCAGAGCGGTGGTCCATCTAGCCCAGCATCTTGCCTCACTCAGTGGTCAACCAGTTCCTCTAGAGGGCCAATAGCAGGGCAGAGAGGCCGAGGCCTTCCCCTGACAAGAACATCTGAAGAACCCTGCTGGGTCAGGCCAGGGAGGGTCCCTCTAGTCCAGCCTCCCGTTTCACACAGGGGCCAGCCAGTTCCTCTGGAGGGCCAACAACAGGGCAGAGAGGCCGAGGCCTTCCCCTGATAAGAACACCGGAAGAGCCCTGCTGGGCCAGACCAGGGAGGGTCCCTCTATTCCAGCCTCCCGTCTCACACAGGGGCCAATCAGTTCCTCTGGAGGGCCAACAACAGGGCAGAGAGGCCTAGGCCTTTCCCTGAGGTTGCCTCCTTGGCTCTAGGATTAAGAGGATTAGTGACTTTGAAGGTGGGAGGTTCCCCACAGTCACCACAGCTAGTAGCCATTGACAGACATTCTCCATGAGTCCATCTAATTCCACTTTCAAGTTGTTTATTCCCAAGGCCGTCACTACATCCTCTGGGAGCGAATCCCACTTTGTAGTTTATTCATTGTGAAGATGGCCTATGGCATGCCTCAGCCCAGTTTTTAAAACCATAAATGTTACAGTTTTCTTAGCGCGCACACACACACACAGACATCATTACCTTTGTGAGTGCAAACAGGACATGAGGCCGGTTCTGCCATTGATATAGAAACGTATAGTGTCCATCATGCTTCCTGTGCACAATGAGACCAGGGCATCCTTCACACTAGGTACCCTTTTTGAGTCTCACTCTCATGATAAAGATGCTACCCCAAGTATTCCTGCCGATGCTGCCAAGTTTCTAGTGCAGAAACAGTGCTTTCTGTTGAGTGGCTTTAAACAGAGGGCATCAGACATAAATGGATTAGAGAGCTAGAATCTCCATCCGGCATATCAGAGAATCTTTTGGTTCTTCTCTCAAAAATAAGTTTTAGGAGACCTCTCCCCTGCTAATCAATAACGATAGTTGGGAGGAATCTAATTATCTGAATTGTAACTAAGGTATATTATGAATATGATGCTGTGACGTGCTTGCTTATAGGGGAAACAGTTTTACCTTTAAACACATTTCTGTGTTGATAAACTTAGTCACACAGACTAAACTGTTGGTCTTATTCGCACAGAATTAGACTCAGAATTCCATAGTCACAAAGACTATGTTCTCTCTTCAAGCTTCTCACACAGAATCCTTCATAACTTTCAGAGTCACAGACTCTCTTCCATACTTGTCTCTCTTATATCATAGAATCACCTCATAGACAAACACACACAGATTCCTCTCAGAACATCTCCTTCCACACTCTCAGTCAGCGGCCAATCAAGTCACACTTGTCTCCCTCTATCACTTTCCTTACAGTACTGCATTCAAACTAAACATTTAAAGGAACGCACACACCAAAGCATGGAATCATTACAGATGATTTGGGGACATACAAGCAAGAATTCCCTTCTCTTCCCAATTCTCCATGCCAGCTAGCAATACCAGCTTCATAATTTACTAAAACAGCTGGTAAACTCCATTGTGGTGTGTGATAATAGGTATTGGTGAGCCACCAATTTGCCCTGAAAGTTCCTGGCCTTGAAAAGTAGTTTTAATAGTTTTTGCAAGAGTCTTGGATGCCAGACTGGGCCTTACCAGAGAGTTTGATATGGGGCTGGACAGATTCTCAGTCTGCTGCTCATCTCCGATGGTTAAAGATGGTGAAGACAATCTGCAGTACAGTGTATTGGCTGTTCACTAGCTAAAAGGGTAGAGTGAATTGGACTGAAACAGGATAAAGTATTGTTATAGAGAAGAGGAGATTGGATTTATACCCCGCCCTTCACTCGGAATCTCAGAGCGGCTTACAAATTCCTTTCCCTTCCCCTCCCCACAACAGACACCCTGTGAGGAAAAAGAAGAAGAGATTGGATTTATACCCTGCCCTTCACTACCCAAAGGAGTCTCAGAGCGGCTTACAAACTCCTTTCCCTTCCCCTCCCCACAATAGACACCCTGTGAAGTAGGTGGGGCTGAGAGAGCTGTTTTAAAAACTGCCCTTTCAAGAACAGCTCTGAAAGAACTTGTGGTTGACCTAAGATCATCCAGCAGCAGCAAGTGAAGGAGTGGGGAATAGTACATGAACCATTTACTTAGCATTGGTACAGTTGAAGAGAGGACATAGTAATCTCTTTTTGCTTTCTGGTTTTAGGTTTAACACAAGAGAGCAGAGCGCGTTCTGACCTGTTCACATGTTTGCTGTAGTTGCAGTTAAAATGTCATCTTATGGTCTCCGATTGTGTTCTTTTTCCTAGTTACCGATACTGCAAGAACAAGCCCTACCCAAAATCCCGTTTCTGCCGGGGTGTTCCTGGTAAGTAAGGCAGTAACTGAAGTTGTCTGTCGAGGTCTTTTTCCTTAGGATTCATTGCCGATAGATCTTCCTTCTTAGAGATCAGACAGCAAACGGAATAAGATTTAATCTTGCAGTGGTGGTAATTGTGAAATTGGCTGATTTCTGCACGTCTGTTTCCCCTGCGTTCCGTACATCGTAAGCCACTTTGGGTCCGTACTATGTGGAGAAAAGCGGATTTCAGATGGCCTAAATAAATAAGTAGTGACCTGCATTTGGGCTGCTTGGATGGGTTGCCATCCTCCAGGTGGGGCCTGGGGCTTTCCCGGAATCGGCTGCTCTCCAGACTACAGAGATCAGTTCCCTTGGAAGAAGTGGCTGCTTCC